AACGTTCAGGGGCAAGCCCGGGGCGGGGCCAGCCCGGGGGCCCCCGAACGTAATAATAATAATAATAATAATAATAGTAATAATAACAATAATAATAATAATAATAATAATGATAATAAATGTAATAATAATAATAATAATAATAAAATAGCGATTATGAGCGTGGACAAGCCATCTCTTCGATCTGCTGTAATCACGATCGGGGGCTGCGTTGTGTCTGAAGGTCGGTGGTCAAGGCCTCCCTCATTTCTCGTTCTGAGTTCCTTAAACGTACTTAACCATATCCATGGCTGAGATCAAAACAAAGTGGTAACAAAAATAATAATAATAATAATAATAATAATAATAATAATAATAATAATATTTTTAGTAATAATAATAATAATTAATAACAACAATAACATTAATCATAACAGCAATACAACAATAGCTAATTTATTTTATTTTATTTCTCAATCTTGACCAGTCAAAATTGAGGGTGCGTTGTGTTCGGGGAGATCACATCAACCCCCCGCCCCATGTTGCCTATCGGTCTCACCCTCGTCGAGGTAAGTTTGCTCTCTCTCTCTTCTCACACACACACATACGCACATCGATAGGATGAGCACATTCAGAATGAACCTCCTGCTGAAATGGGAAAGTATACACAACCACTTCATGATTTGCTCGTTCTATCGATCCAAGTAATGTGCGGCGTGCCAGGGGTGGGGAACTTAGTCACCGACCAAGATTGGAGAATCACGAACRTCTCACGCACACACATACATTYCATCGTTAGGATGAACAAGAGCGRAATGAATCTTCCGCTGAAACGTGGAAATGWACACTGTCACTTTTTGATTTGTCCTTTCTRTCGATCTAGGTAGCGTGCGACGAGGTACGGGTGAGAGACTTAGCTATTGACCAAGGTYGGAGACTTACTTGTAGTAGGATCTTGTCACGYTGTATCGTCCGTTGGTTCCRTAGTTTGAGACAAGCTTGGCACAAGCTCCTCGCCGYGACGTTTCCACCAGAGAACAGGTAGGTAAGCGCTTTCTTCCTTCTCTCCTTCTCCACCTGCCCTTTCGCTTTCCTCTTCGAACTCTCCTCCTTCCCTTCTCCCCCTCTTCCTTCCTTCTCTCTCTCAAAACTTTTTTTCGAACCTCCTTYCTCTATKCTTACCTGTCGTCCTTGTTCGTAACTCCTCCTTTCTTCTTCGTACCTTCCTCCTCCCCTTTCTCTCTCACTTACACCCACGCTCTTCTCCTTAGCTCTCGCTTAGCCTGTTTCTGCTCACTACACTCGCACGCGCACCTCGTAAGCTCACGTTTCACCAGTCAGTTCCAGGCCTGCCGACTATGGCATGCATACTGCCGCGCAGGTCCACTGGTGTTCATCTCCTTGCTTTCGACTGCGCTTGCACGCACGCTCTCCTTGCGCGCTCGTTCTCGCTCGCACGCTTGCTCTTTCACACCTTCGCAAGTTCTCACGCACCCGTCCTTCTGCCTATTTCCGCGTTTGCCTGGTTCTCTGTGCTTCAGCTTTGAGCACTTGCTCAAAGTGTTCCCGATTCGGCGCTCGCGGGTACCCGGGCTTCCGCCATCTAGTCTGAAGAATCTGCCCTTTTAGTCGAGGCAGATTAATTCACTGAACAATCTAAGCAGAAATAATAATAACAATAACAATAACAATAACAATAATAATAATAATAATGATAATAACAATAACAACAAGAGTAATAACATATATATATATATATATATATATATGTATATCGAATGAATCTTACTGTGTTCATGATTAGTATACATGGAAGAAGTGGTTGAAGATAGCTGTTGCGTACTTCCGAGGTTTCAGGTAAGTGTTCGTTCAGCTTCCTACTTCCAACTACCCACGAATCTTCCTCAGAATCCCGGTAGGATACAGAAAGAGAAAACAACGAATTCTTAATATACCTTAGAAAAAGAAAAATAAAGAACTCTAACCGAATTTCGTTCGTTGCTCCCCGTACGTGTACCTGTCGGGTTTCTAGCACATGCAGGAGCCTAAATCTTTCCTGCCCCAACCACTTCTAACTCGTAGGTCGTGAGTTCGAATCCCACAAACTTGAACACGGTCTAAATAGGGATCGGGCGGAACGAGGTAGCTTAAAAAAAAGGCTAGCCTATGAGTCAGAAAGGATTCGTTCCTTAGACTTGTCGCATGCAATCCCGCACCTGTACTTATTGGGCTAGCTCCTAGTTCGGTTAGACTAGGAGCAACCTCACTATTAGTCGAGTAAAGGCTGGCTCTGCTGGTATAACAGGCACACGGCCTGCCTTCCGTGGTCAGCAGGCTGATATGGCCGTTGTCGCAAAGCGTGGTAAGCTGTACGGTCTTCTTGGCCGCCCTGGCCGTATGGTCAGGGCTTATACTATTTTGCCCGAACCCTTCTTTATTGAGCTCATGGCAGAGCGATCCGCTGGTTCCCTTATATCGACTGTTCTGACATCCGTGGTCGTCGAACGAACTAACTTTATTGATTATGTCGTCTCAGTTCCTGACTAACTTGGACTGAAGTCGTCACTTATTGCGCGACTTCTTCCCTTTCGATTAACCCTCCGTTCATTTTGTGGTTGGAGGTCCAACTTACTAACCCTCTTTCAGTCTATGCGTGGGTCAGGTGGCACGCGTGGTCACTCAAACTTTAATCCTCTAATCTTTTTTGTCCCCTCATCTGCCGAGACAAGGCATGCGAGCATTCGAAAAAATTTAACCATCGACTCTAGTCAATGCGCGCCGTGTTTCGGCGCTTGCGCTGACAAAACTTTCTCGACCATAGCGGTCGAGGGATTTGCCTCATTTCCCGTTTTAGCCGTCTTCAGTCTGTCTATGGGTGCCGGCGTTGTATCGACCATAAAATCATGAGCGAATACCCTTGTAAGGGTATCAACTCCGACTGTTTTCCTTGACCCCATTAAGCGATGTCCCCGTTGCTGGGGAATCTAAATGCAAAGAAAGACCTTCTGACGCGACAAGTAGTCAAAATCCGATCCCCTAGATGAAGTTGCAGTTTGGAGACCCTCACTGTCCCCCTTGGTGCGTCCATACTGCCAGGATTTTAACCTGGGTCTCCCATATATCCAAAATGACAATTCCCAAGAAAATATTATTCCATAAACCCCAAGTGGGCATACTAGATCTGTACTACAGTTGCGGAGGTCACCAAAGAAGACAATGATAACTCCTCCCCCGAACTCTAGACTTTATTGCCAGGATCTCGTTGGGTGTCCGAGGAGTTAGGAATAAAAAATGAATCCCACTCTTTTGGACGCGGGTCTTGACCTTAGTCAAATTTTACCATCCCACCCGAAGTTTAATGCGAGGGGATCAGCGACCTCGGCTTCAACCCACCACAGCCGGTTGATTAGGCCGAAACTGCGGCCCACCATGTTGTTATTTTAACGATAGTTCCCGTATTGGTTACGCAATATCGCGTATAATTCTCCTATCATTCTAGACCTGACTCTTGATCCCGCCGATATCTACCTGAACCAATTCCTTCATTGAGGAGACCCCCTCTCAGGTTTCGGTCCTAGGCCGTAATCGGAAGGCCCGCTGCATGGTTATACTTGGTCAGCAGCCCACGCTGGGAATTACGTCCCAACGATGCCAATTTTCTACCATAGGCTTGGTAATTTCAAGTCCCTCAGACTGACCACCTAGAGTGGATAAACAATGATCATTTCATATATATAAAAACAATTTGACGAAATAATCCCCTCGTCAGTTTGGATGAATGAACCTCTTTGAAATTATATAAAGAAAATTTAATCAATAAAAATGATATATCATGATTGTCATATGTAACTGAACGAGGGGCATCGTCAGAGCCACTCATGGGTCGTGTCGCCCAAACCTCGATCACAGGCCGGACAGACACACGTCTCGGGGATCTTCAACCAACAGCAAAAGCCAACCAAATATTCATAAATAAGTATAAAAGTATTTGTTTGACTCCTTGTTGTGTCAGAAGGCAGAAAAGAACAACCATTTCATTCATAATACACAATCCCCTGTCTCGCAGGGTTTCAAACGAATAAAGACCTTTATCTTTCTCACACCCCATTTTTAGGGTTTTTCTCAACAATAACAGCATAAGACAAAGCATGGAAGAATGATCAACAATATCAAAGCACATTCAGACCGTACATGTCACATTTCATTTTATCTTTCTTGAACACTTAGACGCTTTTGTGAGCATCCTAGTTCAAGACTTGATAATACAGCTCGTATAGACTTCAAGGCTACACATTCCATCAAAACAACTTAGGCGTTTTTGTGAGCATCCTAGTTCAAGACCAAACACTGGACCAATTCAAATGTGAAAGTGAAAGTGTCTCTCGTCGGCATACCCCCATAAATAAATTTAATAACATATGACTCAAGAGAAGGAAGACAAGGAAAAAACGGTCTCCCTCCTGAAAAAGAAAAAAAGAAAAATGATGGATGAAGTATGAGTCAAATGTCTCCTTGTCTCTACTCACTAAAGCACATGTGCCGAACTGACTCTATATCAAAGCAAAAATTTCAGAACTTGCTGCCTCTTTTCTACTGCTAAAGCACATCACTATGTCCCAAGAGAAGAGACCCTATTTATTTTACACTTCCTACCCATAGTGTACAAAGTCTTACTAAGAAAAAGAAGCATGAATCATAGAAGGTCAAAACACATACTTTCCCCTTAGTCTACCATGCCAAGGTTCAACTGTCTATACAGTTGAGCCCTGAACCCGTTCTTGGCCTTCTTAACAACGTTCCCAACCCTGTCAATGAGCTTCTTGTTTTCATCCAGTTTTACCAAACCCTTTTCCTCATCAAACTTAAACCCTGGACAATCTTCCCTCAAATGCATCCCTTTCATGCAATACCAACACAACTTTCTGTCCTCAGTCCTTGACTTTTTGGCAGAATGACATGGAATCGCTGCCTCCTTCTCTCCACCTGCTTCCACCATCTCGGAACAAGGTCTCTTTTTAGTATCTCCTGATTCGCCTTCATTATAAGACTTTGTAACAGTGTCAGATGCCAGTATCTCAACCAACTTGTTAGCAGAAGCTGGAATGATAATAGGTTGATCGTTGTTCTCTCTTCTTTGTCCCAATACTTCTCCGCTTACTCCCCCTCGGCCTTGTCATGGTGCATGAGGTGTCCCTGTCACATTCCTGATATCAAATCCCAGTTCATCGTTCCATTCAACTATTTTCGTAGGCATCTCTGCTCCTCCTTCTTAACTAACCTTCCTGAGAGTCTCCATCTCCTTTTCCTGCTTATTGACCTTCCCTTCCAGCTTGCCAACTTCCTTCTCCAACTTTTCTCGTTCAACCTTTTTTTTTTCCACTTCCTTGTTCTTACTATCCAGGGCAATGTTCAAAGACTCCACTTGTTTCTTAAACTTTTGCTGCTCTTCCTTTACCTTGCTCATTTCAACCGTCATGCTTTCCTCTTCTTTTCCCATCTTTTCCACCTGTGCATCCCTGCTTTCTTCCCTTTTCCTCAATCTCTGGATCTCCCTTAGGTTTTCAGGGATGTGACTTGCTACTCCCTGTGTGAGTAATTCCTTCTTTTCTTTTACCATTTCTTGGAGCTCTCTAATCGAAGCCTTCACCTTTTCATCCTCGTCATTCCCTCTCTGACTCCTTCCTGCTCCTTCCAATTTTTCGGCTACCTCGACTCCTCCTTCAAGGAACCACTCACAGTCATCTCGAAGCAGCTCATGCAACCGGATCAGCTTGTTCAGGTCCGATCGTAGCTTAGAGCCCCTGATTGATTCTATTAACAAGATCCTCTCAATCTTCTCACTCCAAGGGGCATCTGCAGGCAACTCATCTTCCTTCATTGATGCAACCATTTTGTCCCCCCATTCCTTATTTTCTTCCTCTCTATTTTCTCTCTCATCCTTGGTCATCCTCCTTGATCCTGGTTCCCTGAGAGGATTTTCAGCGACCGCCATTCCAGTCCCCTTTTCTGTTAGATTCCTTTCTTTCTCCTCTCCTTTATTCTCCTTCGCGCCCTCTTTCTCCTTTGCTATCTCCTCCACTTCCTTTATCCATTTTTTCCCACTCATCATATCCGATTCCTTTTCTCCTTCTTCTTCCCTCTCCTTCTTCTCTTTCGTGCTCTCTTTTTCTCTTGCTACCTCCTCCACTTCCTTATTCCATTCTTCTCTCATCATGTCCTGTTCTCTCTCTCTCTCTTCTTCTTCCTTGCTTTGCTTCTTCTCCCTGCCTATTCTCTTCTCTTGCATTCCTGCAGTCCTGTTTGCTGATCCACCTCCCTTCTGAAATGTTGTCCTTTTTCTGACAAACACCTGCCTGAGGGGTACATCATCCTCATCAATCTCCTGTCGAGTTTTTTTTTCCATCTTGTCTCCTCTCCTTCCGATCCACAGTTCCTGCTCATGAAGTAACTGTCTTTTCTTTTGTATTTGTATGGTCAGAGTGTAGGTTCTTCTGAATTTGACAAGAAACCCTCCCCAGGTATCTGACTCCTCCTTGATGTTCCTCATGCTCTAATATTCCCTGGGGTCCATTCTTGGCATTACCTGTTCCAGCTTCTCCTCCTCCTTCCACCCTTTCTTCTCAGCACACAGAGCAATGTTGTCCTCAAAATTTTTCACATTGGTCCCATCGAAGATGATATCATTCTCGATCCCATCTCTCCTCAAATCTCCATATTCAGCCCACATTTCAGTCTTGAATGTCATCCACCCCAGACAGTCGGTGGTAATCTCTTCGATCTTCAATTGGCACTCCCCCACACCATTTACTTTGGACAACATAGTTGGGGTATCCCACTCCCTCCTGAATGCATGGTCCTCGAACTCCTTCAGAAACAACCTCAAATTGTCCCCCTTCTTGTAGATCGGCATCCCATCTGCGTCTATGGTTACCCGCCGCAATCCCTGTCGTCGTTCCCTGCCAGAAGCTGGTCTGGAAGGCCCCGCCACCCCTACCTTCCGTGTTATTGCCGCTCCTTTTATAGGATTAAGCCTGCACACAGAAAAAGGACGAGGAAAGTGGCAGGTGCAACAGGGTGTCAGCAATCGGGTAACAATATCAAGTTCGCAAATGATGCAATCACAAAAGTTTTTAAGGGGGATTGAATTGACTTATCTTTAGGTTATTGACTCACCTCATCTCTTGTCCTGAATTTCTTCAACCTTAATCCAGAAACCCAGTCTCGTCTCGGCGTTCCATCCATTTCCTCCAACTCATACGCCCCATGATTCCCTTGACATCGAACCTTGTACGGCTCCAACCATCTCTCATCCAACTTCCTTGACCATTGTTTCTCCAAGGACGAGTCATACAATAGTACCACGTCCCCGACTGCCAATGACTCAGTTCGTACGCGGGGAAGCCGATCCCATCTTTCCTTGTCTTTTCCCCGACTGTCAGCCACTTTCTCGACTGCTTCCTGGATTTTTTTCTCTGTGACACTGACCTGTCTGGCTCGAATGTCAAGTAATTCTTCAAGTAGCAAGTCGTTTTCAAGGTCCTGTCTCCGCAAGGTTTTCAAGAAGCTTTCTATTGGAAAGGTGGCGTGTCTCCCATACCATAAGGTCGCAGGAGCATACCCCATGGTTCTCCTGACCGTGATGTTTTCGACGAAGAATACTGTCCGTAGGAATTTAGGCCACAAATTAAGTTTCCCCACTGTCCATTTTGCCAGTAAGTTCGTAATGATGCTGTGCCCTCTTTCCACTGGAGCGTTAGCCTAAGGATGTGCCCTAGTGGTGTACTTGGCGATTACCCCGAGATCATCCAACAACTCTTTCACCTCCCCGCATGTGAATTCTAACCCTCTATCCATTGTGAGTTCTACTACGAAAGGATATCGAAGGTAATATTCTTTGATGCATTCGGCCAAGACCGCCCAAGTCTTGGTCCGGATGACCTTTCCATCAACAAATCCTGTGAGGTTGTCTCTAGCATCAAAGATGTAGTTGTACCCACCAAGTCCCAACGACATTGCTAACAAGTCCAAGTGGACAACAACCCCCACTTCCTTGATATACCTCAGGTGAAGAGGTTCTTTATACCTGATTGGTGATCTGACCTGGTATGGTACGCACGATTCACAGTACTTTTTAACCATCCCGTACATTCCTTCCCAAAAGTAGAGTTCCGTCACCTTTTTGAGAATAGCGGCAAAACTCATGTGAGCTCCAACAGGTCCGTCATGGAGGGCAGCTATGACATCAATCTGCCGATTTCTACCACAGATAACTCTCCTAGGTGGTCCTCTTTTATCCCTGATGAAGAGACGACCACCCCTTACAATATAATGGTCCCTCATGCGGAGAGTTTTCTCACAAACTTCCCTTTCTCGCTTGTCGCCTGAGAGAAGAAGCCCCATTTCTAGATGAAACCCATCGTACTTTTCTTTCCGGAAATCTTCCGAGATTTCACCTTGTTTAAATTCCTCTCTTTCCTTCTCCTCATCAAATTCGTAGTCATCTCCCTATATTATCTCGTCCGCCTTTACCGTTCCTCTTTCTTCTTCGGTTCTCCCATCAAAGTTGCACTCTCCCTACTGCTAATAAATGTCGATCCACCTATCCCGTTCCTGCCTCAATCATGACCGACTCTTCTGTCAATCTGTAACTCTCAGCCAAGGCCAACTTTGTCATTCATTCCCTATTCCTTTCTCCCCACGGATCCTCTTCGACGAAAGATTTTAATACCAACCTTTCATCCTTTACAAAAGTCGCGGGTGCGAACCACATAGGTTTTCCCTTTCGCACCCCATCATCCTCGACTCTCAAAGCCCACGCGTTGACGTGAAGTTGCATGTCATCCTCTTCCAAGAATCCGTTTACCGGTGGCGTCTCCTCCTTGGCTTCCCCAGGTTGTACTCATTCTATCTTGCTCAACCCATCTGCTCTGTTCTTATTCCCCGGAATGGGCTCCAAGTGAAAATCAAACATCGAGATGTAGGTGAGTCATCTGACAACTGTAGAATCAGCTGGAAAGAAGTTCCTAAGGGAATACATGAGGGCCGTCGGATCTACTCTTAGAATGAATCTTCTCCCAAAGAGATAATGTCGGAAGATCCGTAGGCAGTGTAATACAGCCAATGCCTCCTTCTTGAATTGGGAGTAATTCCTTTCAGTTGAATTGAGAGTTCGACTCTCAAAGCGCAACAGCCTCTCCTTACCCTCATGATCCACCTGTATCAAGACTCCTCCCAAGGCAGTGGGTCCGGCATCAGTCTCTATTATGAAGGGGCGCTCTAAGATCGCTTCGTAGTCCGGAACCCTCAGTACCAGACCTCCTTCTTCAAATTCCTTTTTTATATCTTTTACCACCTGCTTCTGCTTCTCTCCCCATTCCCATTCTTGGTTCTTTCTCACTAACTTCCTTACGTGTTCAGTCTTAGCGACAAACCCCTTGATGAATATTCTCCAGAACCCACATGTCCAAAAAAAATATGTCACCTCTTCTATATTCTTGAATGGTGTCGGTCACTCAAGAATTTTGTTTGTTTTCTTGGTATCTGGACGACGACCCTGCTCGTTACACACAAACCCAAGAATGGTCGCCTCTCTCATGCAATGCCTGGATTTAGCGCCACTTGCCGTGAGGTTGTGCTCCTGCAGAAGATCAAGCACTTTCCTGAGATCATTAACATGATCCCAGACGAACTTTCGAATGCCAGGTGCAACTTCCTGCTCATCTTTTATTATTCGTCTCTTCACCGCTAGATCATTGATATAGGGTTCTGTAATTTATGGACTAATCGGTTGCATTACTCTGACCATACTCCTTTGTACCATGGCTACCACATTTGTCCATCCCTGAGGTGCTACATTCATGTGGATTAGTCCCCTAGGAGTATGCATTGCAGTTATTGGTCTATCTGCCGGGTAGACAGGGAATTGGTCATAGCCAGAGTAGAGGTCTATAAGAGAAATAATAGACCTTCCAGCACACACTTCGGAGAGCTGATCAACGTTAGAGAGCCATCCAGCATCCCTAACGGTCACAACATTCAATCTTCGCAAATCCTGCATCCATCTAAGCACTCCGTTCGGCTTAATAAAGCAGAACTATGGTGAAGCATATGGCCCACTAGAAAACCCTGCCACGTGTGAATCAATCTTTTCGTCGAGATACTCCACCACTCTCTTTTGATCATCAGGATTCGGGTACCTGGTTCCTCTAACATTCCAAGGCTGATGCGGGACCGTATGGATCCTGATCATCCCTATCCTTGTCCACATCTAATCTCCCTCTCTGATCATCATTAAAGGCATAGGCACAATGTTTTTCCTTCATTAATCCTATCACCAATGCTCTTTCTTGCTCAGTCAGAGACCCGGTTTCCCCGATAATCAGGTCATTTTCCGTCTCCTCATTGATACGACATGCCTCTTCATCCCATTTTTCTTTCATTTGCCTTATCAACTCTCTCTCTTGCTCATACTAGACACTCTCTTCGTGTGTTACTAGCATTGAGACCAGATGACTTTTCTTATCTACTGTCTTGTACCTCCTTTTGCCTCCTTGCTTGAGCCCCCCCTAAAAAATGTTGACCGCTTGACTGGGCATACGGTCCCTGCATTTTTACATCTCACGGTGGTGGCCTATACACCAATTTCATTCTCCCTCCTTCAGGATACTCGCCCAGTCTGTCGGCCAAGATCATGATGGCTTCTTGGTCGGTCATCTCATAGGCTGAGACCATGCACATCGCTTGGTCTATATTAGCCAAGCTCAGAACCAGTCCCTCATCTTCTTCATCCTCATCTTCCTCGTCCGATCCCCACTCTAATTCCCTTCTCTTGTCCTCTGATTCTTCAAACGTGTAGGATCCCGCGTCGAGACGGTTCTTTGAACAGTGAGGTCCCGTGTTCGTACATGTGAGTACCTCGAAGTTCCCACATACTAGGTCGCACAAAATGGCGTACATAGTTCCATCATGTTTATTTATGAGGAGTGCTTATGACCTTGACAGGAAGGACCTCCCGAATAATGTAGGAAGATCCAGACTAGGCATAATATAGAAACAGGAACGGATCTTAATCCGGCCTACTTCCACGATGACGTTTGAGGCGACACCTGTATAACCTGACTTCCCACTGACCCCATTGAGATATCCAAAGTCACTCTTATCAATCTTTAGTTTCAACCTTTCGGCTGTTTCCGAATTCATAATATTAATCTCCGCTCCGGTATCTAACATTCCGGGGCACCTTCTTCCTTTGATATTGACTTCGATAGAGCCCGTCCCTACGGACTTCCAATCCATTTCACTCTCCACGACTGTCCAGTTCGCCTCCTTGGGAATCAAATCCCCCAATCTTACCGTTGCCACTCTTTTTCTTGCCAATTTCACTTTAACCAACTCCCTGAGTTTTGGGGCCGTTGTCAAAATATCCTTTAAATTCAGTAGCTCGTTATGACCATCAAGAAGTTTTTTCACCTACTTCTCTAGGTCTACTCCTTCTTCGATAGACGTCAGATATTTCCACTTTTTCTTGGACTTTTCTCCGACCTTCTTTTTTCCTTCCTTTCCTCCCTGCTTCCGCTTCTTGGCTCTCTGCTCAGCCTTCTTATCCTCTTCTTCCCTCAGCTGCTCATCCTGGTCTTCCTCTCCTTCACCTATATCGATAGAGGGTTCCTCAGGAGGAGGAGGCGAAGCCTGCTCTGGCTCCTTGGTTGTATTGCCTCCTTTCGCCCGACGAGCGGTATGTGGCACAAAATTTCTAAGGGCTTGGTAAGCCGCTTCAGACCCTGCAGCCAAGCTAGCCCTTAGCGCCCCTGGATTTGGTTCTCGGGGTCTCTCTCGCCCACTTCCTTGATTCATCGTAAATACGTGCGGGGCTCTTAACTCCATAATTTTGACTTCCTCACATATACCCATCATTAGGGTATTCAGTCTTCCTATCTTACCTATCAGGTCTTTCATCCTCTCTAAGGTGTCTTTCGGTGACTCCCTGACTACTTCATCTTCTCTTGGTTCAAGCTCAATCAACGGGGCATCCTCTTCTTCCTGGTCTATCTTTAGTCCTTTCCTTAATTGTTCCTCCAACTCAGTCACATCTTCGATTTTGATAAATAGATCCTCTTTTTTCTGCTATATCCGGAACATGGCGGGGGCACTGGGTCCTAACCCTGCACCCCTGAGTGCCTCCTTCCTCGTACCTCCAAGGATCTTTGGGTCAATGAGAGTCCCCCGTTTATCGTACACATCCCCATCCATGCTGGACGTAATTATCCCATCCAGCTCGTCCATCTTCATAAAATGACACCTCTTCACTGTATAGCCTTTGATTTGACAATGGGTACAAGTACATTCACTATAATCTACCCAACCTCGTCCGAATCCCTGATCATTCCACTGCCCATCATTTCTACCAAACCCTCGGCCATAACCTTGATTATAATCTTGACCATATCCCTGACCATATCCTTGGTTATACCCCTGACCGACTTGGTTAAAGTTCATCTGATTATAGTTTCCTGACTGAGGGCCTCCTTGATTGCCCCAGCCTCCTCCTTGTCCGCCATGTCCTCTTCCTCCAAACCCTCTTCCACCTTGGATATTCCCTCTTCCTCCTTGACCATTTCCTCTTCCTCCATTCCTACCTCTACTCTGTCCTTGGCCGTGTCCTTGTTCGTGAAACTGGTTTTGGTTCTGATTACCGTGTGTCTTTTGCGCTTGCTGAGGCTGTTCTCCGCCTGTCGCTCCACCTTGTGCTTGACCTGTTCCTTGTACTTGGGGCAGATTCGGATACAGGTTCATTTGACCAAACCCCGGTCATCGACTTCATGGAAAAAATCATGGCCACGCACCCATAGGAGCCACAACCGGCCATGGGGCGAGTTGGGCTGCGGGAGCCTGTGCTTCTGACGTCCCAGCTTGTTGAGGATTCTGCCCCTTGCTAGTCCCTTGTTCCCCTGTTGGTTTATTCTTAGTCTTTTTCTGGGCTACTTTAGCCTTGGTGGTCTGTTCCGACTCTTCTATCTCTTCTTCCTCTTCTTCCTTATCCCCTTCATCATCTTCTCCATATCTCCTTTTGTTCGTTGCCTGACCGACCGCCATTTCCTTCCCTGGCACCATTTGCTCCTTCATCTCCTTGAGGTGAGCCGCCATATTACTCAAGACCCCTCTTACGGCTAAATCAGCCCCCTGAATCGCGCTCACCTCCTTTCTTTTCTTTCTTTTCATCTTTACTTAGGATGAAACACCTGGTCTAAGTCTCCTGATGCTAAATTCTTTTTTATCGTCTCCCACGAGGTCTTCTTACCCGGCGCGCCTCCCCACGCTAACTCCATCGCCTCATATCCTGAGAATTTCCCCAAGAAAATGACACATTGCATCTCCTCGGAAAGCCTAGGGACTCTCTCTGCTATCTTTTCAAAGGTTGTAGCGAAAGCTCCAATCGTAGTAAAATCATTCCTATTCAAGTTGTGCAGATGATCGATTGTTAACAACCCATCACCCAACTTGTACTTTCACTGCATCTCCTTCTTGAATCCGATCCAATCCCCCCGGGCTTCCACGACGATATTTTCGACCTTTGAGCGATATTCCCACCATACGTATTCATATAGCTGAACAAATTTCTCAGCCGGTGTTAGCCGATTGAAAATCTGTTCCAGAAGTTCTAACCAGTAAGAAACCCGCTCTCGTTGAAAAGGGAATATTTCTATCTTTGGCAGATGCGACCTTTTGATCGATCTACTTTCTAGTAGCCACACAATCTCCGCGGTCGTGATGGACCCCTGTCCTCCATTGGCATCTCTCATCTCCACAGTCCTTAGTCAATCTGTCATACACATATAGAGACGACGGGTTTTCAGATCATTTCTCAGTTTTTCTTACTTATCTTTTTAGATCTTTGCCTTGGGTATTTTACCCTTCCCAAGGTACTTTCTAAGCCCTGTCCGGCCCATGGTTCTAACTATATTACATTCCTCCTCTTTTATTCTCATCTTTTCCCTTTGACATTAACTAGTATACACTAATTTCCCTTAATTCTGTGAGCCCCAGTTACTACCTCCTACATTCTAATGAGACGATTGATATGTCAAAAACGTTCTAGGTTTTATTTTTTTTGCTTCTAGATCGCCTACCAGTCTACCCTTCCAATCTCTTTTGCAGACAACCAATCCCCCGTCCAGGAATCATACCCCATACCGAACATTATCAGGGTATCAAAGATGCATGCCTTGATCTTAATTTCGGCTTTAAGCTTCCTCCAATAAGTTTGTCTTCGCTCCATACGGTGGACACGAACAAACGCATCTACTGTTGATAGGACATCCTCAAAGTATTTATCAGTCAAATCTGGCCCCATCTCCAAGTACAACCAATAGAGAATTTCCGCCGTAAAAAACTTGCACCTCCCCAGAGGCATGACTATGGCGGCCCGAGCTGCTTGTTCTACATTAGCAGGGCTGTGAAAAACTTCATCAATGATGAAGTCTGACAGGGTAACTTTTACGTAGTCGGTAGGGCAGACGAAGTCCGACGCCCACCTTGCTTCTATTATGGGTGTAATCAATCGAAATTCCCCCCACCTTTCCTCTCTGATCTTGTCCTCTAGGATTGCTCCTGTAATCAGGAGATACCTGAATAATGGTTGACTATGTCCCACTGCCAGGTCGATGCCGTGCATTCTCCACAAGTGCGACGAGAGGTAAAGGGTTGCTTGAACTATTATACTTTCTCGGTCTGGGGTATGCCCAAATTCTACCCATACAAATCCTTCTGGCTCAATCGGGGCCCCCCACCATGAGGTGATTTCCTCTTCTCTCGTGCTTAGTCCCTGGAGCAACGACATCCTTAATCCCAGTCTGGTTCGGATGGGTAGCTCAATCCCAATTCCCCGAGTAGCGTACGACATCTCGAGTGATTTTCTGGCGGCATGTGAAGTGCAAAAGAAAAACAAAAAACACACAATACTCACGCATAAGTCCTACCTAGTCGTGTCATTCCCCCTTACATCATAGATAAAGTTTCTCCCTTTTTTCTTAATCCCGTTCGAGTCATCTCCTTTGTCTTCTTGCCTCATCTTTTTCCCTCATCCCACTTTTTTTCCCTTTCATCCCTCTGTAATACAAATGAGTAACGTCTTCCTTCACCTCCTTCCTCTCCTTACAACTTATGCCTCAGCATCTCATTTCATAATCTTTTAGAACATGAACCCTTTCTCTTCCTCTTTCATTTCTTCTACCGTCACCCAGTCCCCAGACCAAAAGTTATAAACTAACCCAAACATGACGGGAATGCCATCCACGCAGATTCCAGATCGCACTTCCTCCTTCAATTTCTTCCAGTACCCAAATCGCTCCTCCATGAAATAAACTCTAGCGTACGCGTTTACGATGGATAACACGTTGCTAAAATCATTGTCGGCGAGTTCGAAGCCCATTTTCAAGTATACGCAATAAATCATGTGAGGGGTGGAAAAATCATACCCCCTATTAGGTACCCTCAGTGCGGTTTCAACGACCATCTCTACCCTTCCCTGACCATGAAACACTTCATTGACAATGAAATCTGGGAGTGTGGCTCTAATGTAACGGATTGGAAGAGTAAAAATCTTGGCCGGAAGCATTTTGATTTCCTTTATGACTTCTCTTGTGTCTATCCATGAACCTTCCCTTTCCCAAACTCTGAGCTTCACTTTTGCCATTCCTGCGAGTAATAGCAGATAGTCTTCCACCCCTTAATCGGAATTTGATTCATAATCACGCCAGAGACTCGCAGCCACGTAGATGGTGACTCTCACACTACGCCATTCCTCCCTCGTATTCCAACTCGTTTCTACCCACAAAAATGCCTCGCCCAATAACGGGTAACCCCACCATAATTTACTAAGTTCTGCTCGACTCCTTCCTTTTGGCAGCGTCATCTCTAGCCCATCATCATTCCTAACTGGCGCTTCGACCTTGGACACTTGCTTTGCAGAGGGCATCTTGATCAAATCCCGAAGACCTGTTCAAGGGCAAGCCAAAGGACAACTTATTTAATGTACTGCTTCAACCACTAATTTTTTTGTGCCCATACTATGGAATCGCCTGATGTAAAGATAGGTACCCTTTTCCCGTAGTTTTCCTGGCATACCCCCTTTATTCTTTAACTTCCCTTGGTCTGATCCCAGAAAATATCTTGAGGGCCCAAATTACCTTTCCTCAATTCAACTCAGATGGGTTCTCCACACGCTTCTCCTTAAGTTAGTGATGAGAGAAACCCCCGTCTTTACCCTATCTTACTTCCCTTCTTTAGACGATCCTTTTATATATATCAAGTACGAGACTAGCCCGCAAGTTCTCCGATGCGATATACAGGGTAATCCTTTCTGCCGCACAGTTCTCACCCTTAACTCATCCATACTTAATCCAGATGAAGGCTTGTTACCTCATACACATTCCCCTTTAACACCCTGTCTCCTAACTTTTCCCATGACGAGTTGGTAGATTCATCATTAGGTTTTGCCTCATCAGTGCGGACACTCTGATCTTCACTTGATATCGGGCAGACGCCATTCTTCTCTTGTCGGTACACTCCACCTATTACTCAACACAACCCTGCCCACGTTTCTTTCACTTAGCTAGCATATTTCAGCCTATGACCTGACTATTTTCACCCTTTCGCCACCTTATCCAACCTTTTAGATGATCCTTTTTTATACAACAAGTAAGACACCAACCCGCAGATCTCTATTTGACATAATATAAACATTAGGAGTGTTATGCACATCCTCCTATCAGGAGACGCAGACTGCGCGGCTTCAGCAGGGTCAGGCACGCGAGGTGTTGCTTGAGGTCCTTGCTGGTGAGGTTGGGAAAGAACGGTCAACTGCCGTTCTTGAGACAAATGATAAGGGTTATGATGCGGGCGGCTAGGTGGTTCGAAGCGTGGTGGAGACTCTCCGTAACGCCTTGCGTACCTATACGAATAGTAAGTCATTTCCTCAGGGTTCGGGGTATGCATGCGCCTCTCCTCCCAATACCTTCTTGCCCTCAATCCTTCCTCCTTCTCTTCTGATCCTTCATCATCTTCTCTCCAGTCTTCCCATTTCTTAGTCAAATCTATAGGTCTTTCAGTTGCCTTCCCTTGTCTGCCGCCTCTTCCTCTACCAGTACCTATCCATAGCCTTTAGGTGCCATATTTGTTAACTTTAACTATAAGCAGGACAATCGTTCCCTATACCTTACACACTAATTTGTTTCGAACGACTATTTGCTACTAACTATTCAAGTCACCTTACTCTGCTCAGATTCTTTGTCAATTTTTGACCTTGATGATTGTCGTCCTGCCAGGATTTTGGCTTACCCGAGCTCGTTCACTGAGGACCTCGGCTAAGAAGCGAGATCCCCGGCAACGGCGCCACCTGTCGCGCGCGGCGGTCTTGCACCCTGCTGGGAGCGCTGAACCTCACGGTCGTGTCACGCATGATTTATTTCCAAAAAGGAACCGGTCACCACTCCGACCGTGCACGCGTGTTATACCTCTCACGACGCCCCACGACAGGTCGGGGAGCCGCGAGGTACAACTTACCTCTACCCGAGGGGCTGTCACCACCCTCAGGTAGGCGTATCCCTGCTGAGTTACCAGCCCACATGCAAAGGCTTTTACATGCCTTTGTAGAGGTAGGTCGGCCGAGGGTGTTTGCTCGATCGCTGTAGCATAAAACGGGGTACGCGCGGTAAGACGCCTTGAACTGACTCGTTAGATATTCAGATCGAACTTTTAATAAGGCAGTCCATTTCCGCTATTGCGTAATGTATATTCTTTTAAATAAATATCAGTCAAACCTCCTTTCTACCAAAGAGCGTCCTAATCTTTCTTAACATCAGAATAATATAGGAGTTAACTTGGATATAAGATAAATATGAAAGTATTACCGCCGAGAACCCTTCCCACTTTCACAACTGCCGTGTGTCCGAGACTCTTCAATAGACCAGGTCCAGTTCAATCCAAAATCATGCACAAAACATACATGCACAAAATAATGCAAAGACAGTTCACATACCATGCACTAACGACGTCAACCATCAACCATTGACCTTGTCCCTCACTTCCCAAACTATGTATGACAGCCTTGTCTTTCCTGAGACGTAAGCCCAACCCCCTCACATTGCTACAAAGGACCTTTGAGAGTGACTAGGACCATTTAGGCAATGACCACAGGTGACAGTTTTACTGACCACAAGGTTTGACTTTAGAGGTGGGTATCAAGTCAAAGGGGAAAGTTGAATCGGTAACAACCGACCTGTTATCGAGAGATAACAGAAA